AATACAGATCTTATTTAAATATTATACAGTTTAAATTAATCTAATTAAAAATGTTTTGAAGTTGTTAAAAAATAAAAAAGATGTTAGTTTTCTAGCTATACAAAAAGTATATATCTGTATATGTATTTGTTATAAAATACGCAACACAATCATATTTTTTGCATCTGTTTGGAAATTTAGATTGTATACCATTTCAAAACTGACCTATTTTAACTTAAAGGCAACTGAAAAAGAAATTAAAACTGACTTTTGTAAACAATTTAAATTGAGCAGTTTAACTTTATCCCAACCCTTAGGTTAAGCAATGATCTCAGGATGAAGGAAGGGTGATGAGTAAGATGAGCACTACATTACATGTCTCCAACTAGGTATATGTGACTAAAAACGTATCACCTCATCTCTCTGGGTCTCCATTTTTCCTATTTACCAAAAAAAAAAACCCCACGAACTTTGGATTAAATATTCCTCAAGGTCCATTTTACATGGAAATTCTGAGAGAAGTACCAGCCCTTTACAGTTCTGATAGATCCATTTTCTCATGCTTTTAGAAAATTCACTTCCTGCTTCTGCTTCTTGCCCTGTCAATCTTGGAGAATCCACAGATGAAAGGTACTCTAATGAACTTCCAAGTTGTCCAATGATGGGTGAGACTAAGTCCCTCATTCAGCAAGTCATGAGGCTTGTGTAGAATTATTTCCTTCAAAGAACACCAAAATCTAAAACAATTACTGCCATCTTCTCTCAGAACTCAAAAGTATGTACCCGAAATCCTAATAAATTTTAGGAAATACATGGCATTTGCCTTAAAAATTTACACCATGCTCTTTGACAGACGGAATCTGCATTACCACATGCTACTTGTTCATCTCTTTCCTAATATTTGGTTCAGTTAATGTGTCTTTGATGTATTAAAGTTATTCCGGATAACTTATATAACTAACATGACATGAAAAGGAACAGCTCAATCCTGAATAAGTCATGACTTCAGAGCAGAGCATAGATTTGACTCTGTTGCATTTGCCCAATAAAAAAATAATTATTATCTCAGGGATATCTCTAAAATGCTCTGACTCTGCCCAAAATATTTTACCTATTTCAGAAATGTCCCCTGTAAACACAATATAACATACCATTTATCTACAAAGATACTATGAAAGTTATATAATTTATTAAAAATATTCAGAAATGAGAACAGTTCAAAGTTGCAGTGACTCTTTTCATATTGAAGTTTAGTGGAATCTAAGCCAACATTCTCTGAGTCAAGGCACAATATTTTGCTGAAGATCTTCTTATTTCTGTAGTACATAATGAACAAATATTCCTTACAGATATTCAAATTGCCTTTAGGTCACTAAGTAGCTAATTTTTTATATTATTAATTCCCCCTATACAGAAGGACAATTTCCATAATTTTCATCCAAAATATTCATTCAAGAAAGTTTAAGTTGACTTTTCGTGATCAACTCTGGCCCTCTTTAAGAAACAGTAAATTTTTTTAAAGATAGAATAATTGTAATAATTTATTTGACTTTTTCTAAAAGGATGGTTTTCAAAGCTACCTGTATGAGGATTAACTATAAAAACCTACCTATACACATTTCTAATATAAAAATACACTTAAGAAAGGTACCTGATTTTGCCATAATCAGGAAACACAAGTTCTAATATAACCCCTTTCTAATAATTTTGCATCACCTCATTCTCTGTATTCAAAGTGATTGTAAATTGCAGGTCTCTTCTACCTCTAAGATCTGCATTTTTTTCTATTTTTTTATGATATTTTTAAAAGAAATGCAACCCTAGCCCAAAAAAGGTAGTAGTTAAATCCTTGTGGTCTCTAACAACAGCAACAAAAAGTAACATTCTGTATGCCTGCATATTAAAAGGATTATGTGCCATGACCAAATGGGATATATTCCTACAGTGCAAGGATGGGTCAACATACAAAAATTGATCAATGTAATATGCTATCTCAACAAAATGAAGGAAAAACCAGTATGATCATCTCAACAGATGCAGGAAAAGCATTTGACAAAATTCAACACCCTTTCATGATAAAAACACTCAACAAAATAGGAACAGGAGGAAATTACCTCAACATAACAAAAGCCATATGTGAAATACCCACAACAAACATCATAATGGTGAAAGACGACACACTTTTCCTCTAAGATCAGTAACAAGGCAAAGATGCCCACTTTCACCACTTCTTTCTATTCACTAGAGTACTGGATGCTCTAGCCAAAGCAATTAGGCAAGAAAAAGAAATAGAAGGCATCCAAATTGGAAAGGACAATGTAAAATTATCTGTTTGCAGATAATATAATCTTATATGTAGAAAACATTAATGTTACCACAAAAAGCCATTAGACTTAATAACTGAATTCAGCAAAGAGGATACAAAGTCAACATACAAAAACCAGTTGCATTTCTATTTACAATGAACAATATGCAAAGGAAATTTAAAAAACAGTTCCATTTAAAACAGTATCAAAAAGAAAAACATAATTAAGAAATAACTAAAGTGGAGAAAGACTTGTAAAATGAAGCCTATAAAGCACTACTGAAAGAAATTAGACATAAAAAAATGGAAACACATCCCATGTTCATAGATCAGAAGACAATATTCTCAAAATGTCAATACTACCCAAAACAATCTACAGATTCAATGCAATGACTATCAAAATCCCAATGACTATTTTTGCAAATATACAAAAATCCATCCTAAAATTCATATGGAATCTCAAAGGACCCTGAATAGTCAAAACAATCTTGAAACAGAACAGAAAAACTGGAGGACTCACACTTACTGATTTCAAAATTTACTACAAAGCTACAGTAATCAATACAGTGTGTTACTGCCATAAAGACAGGCATGTAGATCAGTGGAACAGAATAGAGAGCCTTAGAAATAAGCCCTCACATATATGGTCAAATGATTTTTGACAAGAGTTCCAAAATCATTTAATGAGAAAAAAGGACAGTCTTTCAACAGATGGTGCTGGGTAAACTGGATATCCACATGCAGAAAAATGAAGCTGGGCCCTTACCTAATACCATATACAAAAATTAACTCAAAATGGATCAAGTACCTAAAGATGAAACCTAAGAAATTGAAGAAAACAAAGGACAAATCTTCACAACACTGAATGTTGCAATGATTTCTTGGATTTCTTCACCAAAGGCACAGGTAAAAGAAAAAGAAAAATAGACAAGTTGAACTTCATGAAAATCTAAAAATTTTGTGCATCAAAAGACACCATTCACAGTAAAAAGGCAACCCTCAGAATGGGAAAGACTGGTTGCAAATCATATGTCTGATAAGGGATTAATACACAGAATATTTAGGGAACTCCTAAAACTCACAAACAGTAAAAGAGCCCAGTTCAAAACTGGAAAAAGGACTAAATAGACATTTCTCCAAATACATACAAATGGTTTAATAAGCACATGAAAAGATGCTCAACATCACCAGTCATTGGAAAAACATGAATGAAAACTATGAGATACTACCTTATACTCATTAAGATGGCTACTATAAAAAAAAAGAAAGAAAGAAAATGAAAGTCTTGCCAAGGATGTAGAGAAACTGGAACCCTTGTGCACTAGTGACAGGAATATAAAATGGTACAGCCCCTGTGTAAAACAGTATGGTAGTTTCTCAAACAATTAAAAATATAATTACCATATTATCTAGCAATTCCACCTCTGAGTATATACCGAAAAGAACTGAAATCAGGGTCTTGAAGAACTTATGTTCATAGCCTCATTATTCATAATCATAAGAAACAACACAAGTGTCCATCAACTGGCAAGTGGATATACAAAATGTGACACATATATACAATGGAATATTATTCAGCCTTAAAAAAATCCTGCAATATATTACAATATGGATGAACCTTGAACACATTATGCTAAATGGAAAAAAGCCATTCACAAAAAGACATACTGATGACTCCACTCATATAAGGTACTCAAAGTAGTCAAAATCATAAAAACAGAAAGTACAATGGTGGTTGCCAGGAGCTAGGGGGCACAGTGACTGGACAGTTATTGCTTAATACATATGGGGTTTCAGTTTTACAAGAAAGAGTTATGGTGATGAAAAGAGTTGTGGTTATGTCCGTACAGCAATGCGAATGTATTTAACACCATGAACTGTACACTTAAAAATTGTTAAGACTGTTAATTTTGTTATGTGTTTTTTTATCACAATAAAAAAAGAAAGAAAAGCATGACTGCAATAATCACCAAAAACAAGAAACTCCCCAAACATTCATCAGCTGGCAAATGGATAAACCAAATTCATATAGTAAAATATTATTCACCAATAAAAAAAAGAAAAAGAACAAACTACTAGTGTATATAACATGGATAAATCCAAATGTATTATGCTAACTGAAAGAAGCCAGATTTTAAAAGCTACATACTAAATGATTCCATTTAAATGACTTATTGGTAAAAGTAAACTACAAGAACAAAAACAGATCAGTAGTTGCCAGGGGTTTGAGGTGGAGGGAGAGTCTGACTACAAAGAAGCAACATGAGTGAATTCAGACTATTACAGTGATGAAGATACATATGTCAAAATTCACAGACTAAACACTAAAAACAAATAAATTAAACATTTAATGTATGATTGAAATCTGTATAAGAATGAAACCTTTAAAAGTCAACTACTTAAAATGTCAAAATATTTTAAGGTGAGTTATTATTCAGCACCAAATATGCACACAATGTCAAAAGTACAATATGCCATATTCAGCCACAACTTGTTTTGTCTAGTCCCTCACTTAAAAATACAAAACCATTAAATGAGAAGTAAAACATTTTTAATTTATGTACTGCAGATTGTAGATAGTCAGAAAATGTTTAACTAATACACAATGTAATAGAGTTTAGATTGACTTGGCCTTTTCACTTCACTGGTACATCCATTTCTCAAAATATTAACATACAATTGGAACAGAGAAATGCTGTCCACAAATTGTACTAACCTGAATTTTTCAGTTAATCAATAAAGTCGATATATTGAGCACTGTATCTTGAATGAAAACACCATCAAGTTCATGGGGACTCTCTCAGCAAAAGCAGCAACCTGGAACAAGAAAAATATATTAACTTCAGTTCTACTCAAATTTTAGCTAGCATGATTATACGTTTTTTAAAAATCCCCTTTTTTCCCTTAAGTTGCCAGTCATACATGTTAAAACTTCTGTATATTCACTTACTCTGCAAGCAGTGCTTTTTAAATCCCAATAGGGAATGGATTTTCATTCTGCAAATTATACTCAAACATAGTTTCTTTCATAGCTCATATTAAAATAAGTCAGCACCATAAAACTTGCTTTGTAAACATGAAATTCTTTAACTTTGTCTACTGCTTAACATATAAAGCAATCAGAAATGTCCCTTTTCAAACTAACACTCAAAATCTTCTACATCCCCCCACTCCCAACTAGCTCTTCAGCCTAATTTCTGTCTATCTTCTACACAAACTTCTACTCAAGCCAATTTAATTTGCTTGCTTTCCACAGAACAATTGTGCCATCCTCAGCTGTCTCCCTGCAACACACTATTCTTTCTTATCCTCTTTATCAATAAACATCAACCAACTTTCTCAAAATTCAGCCCCTCCATACCTCTCTGAGGGCTGATATGATCATTCTGAACTCCATTAATCATTTACAGACTACGTTGTTGTCTTATATACACACCACCTAATGCAGTCTTCTGATTAAGGACCCTATTCCCCACTTTTGTCACTATCTGTCCATCATCTGGTACCATGTTTGACACATAGAAAGTAATCATTATGATTAACCAACAAGTGAAATGATCTTAATAAAGATTCACACATCAAATGTTCACTAATATGTATCTGCAAGTCACTAAATACAAAAACCCAAGAATAATATAAAGTCACAATACATTCTTGGGAAATATGTCTTTCTGCCAGTAATTCTACTGTTGCTACAATGCAAGATTATTCTCAGATTGACATTATTATTAACTGTGAGATGCAGTTCTTTTCCAATGACATCAAAGCCTACTGAAATCAATTTTTGGTGATTAGAAATAACGTAGAAGCATCATTACCAATTCCAACTCCCCTACCAAAAAGGCAATCCAACTATTTTCATTTTAGATTTCAAGAGTCAAAAATCTATTCTGAGGCAGGACAGCCTATAAGAATTCAATAAGTTACTCTAAACCAAAAGTAACAAGTACATTTGTATAAAGCTTTACTATTTACATTATCTCACCTGATACAACTGGTGGAGAAGAACAAAGCACTGCCAACTCAACTACTCCCTGGGCTCATACACATACAATTCATAAATGGCCATTAACTATAAAGCCAGCCAAGGTTCACTGTGATCCTTTCCTGTAATTTCACCCAAAAGTCTTTACCAAACTCCCAAAACAATCTGCTAGTATAGGATTTAAGCTGCTAGCCATTACAGAAAATAGTACCAGATTTACCCTTAGACTGTGACCAACTTCAAAACTAGTCAAAATATATGACACAACAGTTGTAGACTTTGAACAATTAGTATAGATCTGCATTCCCTTAGAGAAGGGAAAACGCTAAATAAGCCCTATGAACACGTTGATTTTCTGCCAAGAGATGTTCTAGACACCAATGAGGGAGGGAGATTCAAAACAAGCATAGCAAAATCACTAACTTGAAAAGACAAAGATCACAGTTCAGAAAGGTACAGTTGGCAAAAATTTCCGAAATAATGTACCAGAGGGGAGGGAGTTACACAGAAAAAAGCTCCAGACATCGACACAGAAGGCAACTTGAATCTGACATAATACTAATTTGCACACACTTAAGATCAAATTCCATGAGGTCAGGCAAAAAATAACTGCCAAGAAGGTAAAAAACTGAACAAGCAAGGTTCATACAGAGCTGGGGACATGTGAGTTCCATTCAACCAGAGTAAAGAGATCTTGTATACTTCTGGCAATAAGTAAAGATTTCAGCAGGGCTAAATTAGTCCTGGATTAAAGACTGCTCTATAATGATTTCAACAGAGCTTAAAAACAAACCTTGAAAGAACGACCTGATCCTCAACATCTCCAACAAAGGTTAGCTAAATGGAAAACCTCGTAATTCACAAGGCACCAAATAAAATATTCAGGAAGGTTTTGCTTCAGCATTAGGGCAAAATTAAACTAAATGATCTCACTTAACAAAGATTAAAAGCAATAATTTAAAGGATCACACACTTCCAGGCAACTTATATACATAACAGAAAAAAATTCAAGAATATTTTAGGAATACAGAAATATCCAGCAATCCAACAAGGTAATATTTTCAGCCTTTTGTACATGCCTGAGAAGGGTCAACTGATTTTCAAGCATATTAAATTT